ATTCAAATGAAGGCATTTCTGACCATGAGCGATGGAATGAAGAGACGAGGTGGAACTGACATAGATAAGCAGGGTCACTTCTGAGCCAAGAACCAGAGGGTGGGCAGAAGGCCACCAAGCAAAGGGAGTCGGGAGAACACTTCAGAGGACTCTACCCCGTGTCAGGAGAGGCTCACAGGGTCCCAGGCATGAAGCAAAAGCCATGAGGATGAAGGAAGGTGGAGCCAAAGTGGGCCAAGGTTGGAGAACTAGGAGGGAACCAGCTCAAGCAGGGCATTTCTGTTCATTTCGCTCAAGTTCTGTCCCCATTCTGGGAAGTTGCAGTCCTTCCAGGAAGTGAGGAAGCCATGCCAAGTCGCCTGATGGGTGGTGACCGAACCAAGAGCTACTCCCTCCCTTGGTTGTTGTGTCTGCTGATTTCCAAGGGAACTTGGGTTAAACAATGTACTAAGCGTTGTCTTCTCACTCTGATTTTTTTTTGTTTTAAATATTTTATTTATTTATTTGACAGAGAGAGAGATAGCGAGAGCGGGAACACAAGCAGGGGGAGTGGGAGAGGGAGAAGCAGGCTTCCCGCTGAGCAGGGAGCCCGATGCGGGACTCGATCCCAGGACCCTGGGATCATGACCTGAGCCGAAGGCAGACGCTTAACAACTGAGCCACCCAGGCGCCCCTCACTCTGATGTTTTGACATCTGGGGTCTTATTGACCCTGGAGAGATAATCCTTGATCCAGAGCCCAAATCCCACCTTCCACCTACTCTATCAGGCTCTCACACTCAGGGTCACTATCCCCCTGCCTTGATCACCCCAGAGCCAGGTACCAGACAACTCCAGTCAGCCCCTATACCTCAAAACCCACTGAAATCATTCCAATTAGGCAATCCTAAACCTGCCTACCCCACCTCACCCTTTCCTTCCCACCGAAACCACAACAAAGGCTCTTGCTCACATTTTCTCCTCACTCCCCCTGCGTCCTGACCAACCCTGGGGCTTCCTCATGTGGCCCTCTGTGGCACAGTTTTCCCACCCGCCACCACCACTTCTACTGGGGTCTGAGAAAAACAAATCTTTCAACAGCATTCGCCTTCTGATCTGCTAGCCTCACCATACCTTAATAATAATAAAGCCGACATGTTAAAACACTCACCCACCCCACCTCTAAGACCTCACCACAAGGCCACAATCTCCTACCTCCAAATGGTGATGGCTAGGGTGCACAAGACCCCGGTAAAGGATGGGAAAAAGAGCACGAAGATGAAGAATGTCATCATCTGTGAGGCTCGCCAGGCTTTGCTGGGAGGCTGGAAATTCATCATCAGGCTGATCTGAAGAGAGAGAAACGGCCACCTCCCATCTGTGGCCAGAGAAGCAGGCCAGAGGGACCCCAGCCAGGCACCGGCTTCCTGACCCCCTTCCCGGCACCACCCCCTGCCGCCCCCAATCCAATTCCAACCACCACGGGGTCACATGGGACTGAGAGAGGCTAATCGATTCCAACTTCAGACTGACTCACATTTTTGACGTAAAACATGATGAAAAGAGTAATCATTTGGATAAAGGGCAGCAGAGGGCAGAAGAAGGTTCCAATCCTGTAAGGGAGAAAGAGTGTCAGAGGTCAGGGGGACACCTTGATCTTGCACTTGTAGCCTCCAGAATCGTGAGGAAATGTTAAGCCACCCCCTCTGTGGTACTCTGTTATGGCAACCCTAACAAACAAATACAGAGGGAGAGTGCTCTGTCCCCCTGCAAACCAGGAAAGTCCCCACCGTACCCAGGATCCTCAGCTGCTCTCTTCCCAGCTTTGGAATAGAGATTTTACAGAAAGCACCACCCACATACCACCAAATGGCCTTCAGTAAGCCCTAACCTAGGTGTCCCGAATGTGGGACATGTCCCTCTCCTCCCTCCATGGCAGTAAAGAAGGTCTGAGGTCCTGCAGGGACACTCATTAAACTGCACTGGGTTACACATGAGAAGGACATTCCCCCTCAATTCTCCCTAACGCTCCTGAGTAGAGATTTCCAAGAGAAGAAAATCTCACTTTGGTGGGCCTAACACTTGCCAACCTCCCTTTTTTTCCTAAAAGAAAGTGTGGGGACAAGCTTTAAACTGAGAACCTTGGCAGACAGCAGCACCCAGCTAGAATTTGACTGTTTGTGATTGGCTTGGTTTTATTTTATTTTTTAAAGTGACTGACATTTTTCTTTAAGCGATCTCTATGCCAGAGATGGGGCTCGAACCCACGACACTGAGATCAAGAGTCAGATGCTCTACTGACTGAGCCAGACAGGTGCCCTGGTTTGATTTACTTTTCAAGTTACTTGAAGTTTCTCTCAAATGACACAGGTCTTCCATTTATGGTTGTAAAATAAAGACTCCTTTAGCAATGTATTTAGGGGCATCTGGGTGGCTCAGTCGGTTAAACATCTGCCTTTGGCTCAGGTCGTGGTCCAGGGTCCTGGGATTGAGTCCCATGTCGGGCTCCCTGCTCCGCAGGAAGCCTACTTCTCCCTCTCCCACTGCCCCCTGCTTGTGTTCCCTCTCTCGCTGTGTCTCTCTCTGTCAAATAAATAAATAAAATCTTTAAAAAATAAATAAAATAAAATAAAATAAAATAAAACCAGTACAGGTGATATGTAGACATGCCAAAAAATAGACAAGGTGGTGTGCAAAAGACACTTACCTCACCTCATCTCTACCATATCATTGTCCCTACCATACACTCCCTTTCTGTTGTCTTCTCTTTTGTTATAGAGAGAGAAAGAAAGAGTGAGCGAGCAAGGGAGGGGCAGAGAGAGACTGTCAAGCAGGCTCCACACCCAGCACAGAGCCGACAAGGGCTCGATCTCACGACCCCGAGATCATGACCTGGGCTGAAACCAAGAGCTGGATGCTCCACCGACTGAGAAACCCAGGTACCTTTCCCTTATCTTCTTTTAAAGCTCATCAGCAAAGGCAATATTCTCCTAAAAAGCACAGAGGTTAAATCTATAATTGCCATGGGGAAAGGAAAAGATACATGTGTTTTCAGTTGTGCTTATTTACAATTTATTAACACAAACCGTAAAGGCCCAGAAGTAATAATGGCCACCTCTGATTGGAACTTTTTCCCCCCTCATGGCTAACATTTCCCTTTGGAACCTTCAGCAAGTGGTCAGTAGTATAAGCACTTGGTTTCCAGGGTTCAAAAACCCGGCCAAAGTAAGCACTCGATAAATGGAAATATATTGTTATTATCACATCAGCTGATTTATGAACATCATTTATTAAAAAATCTAAGAGGGTTCATATGTGCCATAAGATTGAATTGAAAGCAGGGTCTCAAAGAGACATTTGCATACCCATAATCATAGCTGCATTATTCACAGTAACCAAGAGGTAGAAGCAACCCAAAGGTCCATCCATGGATGAATGGATAAACAAAATGTGGTATATCCATACAATGGGATATTATTCACTCTTACAAAGGAAGAAAGTACTGATGTATGCTACAATATGTAGAACCTGAAGAACATTATGCTAAGTGAAATAAGCCAGGCACAAAAAGATAAATTCTGTATGATTCCGCTGACATAATGTATCTAGAGTATTCAAACTCATAGAGACAGAAAATAGAGTGCTGGTTGCCAGGGGCTGGGGAAGGGGGAACTGGGGAGTTCTTGCTTAATGGGTAGGAAGTTTCAGCTTTGCAAGATGAAAAGAGTTCTGGAGATCTCTGGCAGAGCTATGTGAATAGACACAACTCAACTGTACATTTAGAAAAGGTTCAGATGGTATTATATGATGCATTTTCCTACCACAGTTTTTTAAAAAGTGCTCATAAAGGTAACAATAGCCACAATATCCCCACTTACAAAATATTTCTGAGTCAGTCTGAAGGTTTTCAAAACTTACCACACCAGAGTTTGTGCATAGATCAGTTCCAGAACGTTCCTGGCAATGTCAAACTCTTGTAAGCCAAGACTTGTGATAAACTGCATTCCAATGAGTCTGTGAAAACATCACTGAGTTTAGTACCCAAATCATCAACTCTCTCCTTCAAAAGATTCCCCACAATCGGGGCGCCTGGGTGGCTCAGTCTTTAACCATCTGCCTTCGGCTCAGGTCATGATCCCGGGGTCCTGGGATCGAGCCCCACCTCGGGCTCCCTGCTCGGCGGGAAGCCTGCTTCTCCCTCTCCCACTCCCCCTGCTTGTGTTCCCTCTCTCTCTGTCTCTCTCTGTCAATTAAATAAATAAAATCTTAAAAAAAAAAAACCAAAAGATTCCCCACAATCAACAAAGTAGAGCCTCACCAGTTTGGAATAAAGTCCTAAGTTCCCTTGCAAATGTTTGAAAGGTTCCAAGTACAAGCATATTTTCAAAGAAATAATTGAAGGAATTGAGGGAAAATGGAATTAATACAATGCATTTGAATAGAGGTACTGCTGAAGTGGTTTAAAAAAATTCTAGAGGGGTGCCTGGGTGGCTCAGGTTAAGCATCTGACTCTTGATTTCGGCTCAGGTAAAAACCTCAGGGTTGTGAGATTGAGCCCCGCATCAGGCTCCATGCTGGGCATGGATCCTGCTTAAGATTCACTCTCTCCCGGGAGCCTGGGTGGCTCAGTTGGTTAAGCGACTGCCTTCGGCTCAGGTCATGATCCTGGAGTCCCTGGATCGAGTCCCGCATCGGGCTCCCTGCTCAGCAGGGAGTCTGCTTCTCCCTCTGACCCTCTTCCCTCTCGTGCTCTCTATCTCTCATTCTCTCTCTCTCAAATAAATAAATAAAATCTTTAAAAAAAAAAAAAGATTCACTCTCTCCCTCTCCCTCTGCCCCTTTCTAAAAAAAAGAAAAATTCTAGAGAACATTATTTAAGTTATCCCTCCTTTTATTTAAATAGTTAATTATAAGCTAACAATGGGTATTACTTAAATGAGATCATTATTAAAATTATCCTATTATCTCATTTATACCACTCTTTGCTTATTCAACCTTTTTCTCAGGGACCAGATAAATTCAGAACCTCCGAACCCAAATAAACTGAACATTTTTCCATTTCTGGTTACTGCTATTGGATTAATAGTGCTTGCCTGTTTTCTAAATCCACAAGAGGAAGCCAAGGTCTCCATTTAATCTGAGGAAACTTGAGACCACTTCAAAGTGGGTACTTTGGGTTTCAAAAGATTATTGGATGCCAATTAAAAAAAAAAAATTGCCATGAAAAAAACAAAAACAAAAAAACCTCCCCACCTTTACGTCCAGACCCTGGATAGAGGCTGTAATGAAAGTGAGTTTGGGCAGACTGAGTGAGGAGATTGGTCATGCAACCTACCCACTGAGGAAAGAATCTTTATGTTATGCCATCTTATCATGGGGCAGCTCAAACAAACGTGTGTCTATAAGGAATGAGATGCTCGGCATATTATTAACAAATAAATGACTAAATCAATAAAAGAGGACTATATATGGGTCAGTGATTACACTGCCTCAATTCTGTATACCTGGCATCTAAAATAACAATCAGCATAATAATCAAATTCAATTAAATGAATCATGACATAAATCTAGATGTACTGTTAGGGAAAGATACCACAGCAGAGTTTTAAGATTAATAAGAGCAAACACCACAATGATTTTCATTGTGATCCCATTTTTGTCTTTGAAATTATATAATACACACACACATACACAAAGCAGTATGTGCACAGAAAAATCTGGAAGGATATACACTAGAATTAAAATTATCTATGGCGGAGGGGTGCCTGGGTGGCTCAGTCATTAAGCGTCTGCCTTCGGCTCAGGTCATGATCCCAGGGTCCTGAGATCGAGCCCCGCATCAGGCTCCCCGCTCCGCAGGAAGCCTGCTTCTCCCTTGCCCACTCCCCCTGCTTGTGTTCCCTCTCTCGCTGTGTCTCTCTCTGTCAAATAAATAAATAAATAATCTTTAAAAAAAGAATTATCTATGGTGGAAAGTTCTCAAATGACTTTCAGTTTCTATGTTTTATTTCTAGCCCTTTTTTTTTCCAAGAGAAGGTTGTAAAGGGCTAGCTGAACCAAATGAACTTGAACAACAGGACTGTCAGATAAAAGTGAAATATCGGTTAATTCAGAAAGAATCAGTATCCCAAAGAATGAAAGGCAGACTTCTAACAGTGCACACTAAAGTATATAAGGGATACTTATGTACTAAGTATATAAGTATAAAGGATACCCATACTTCCTGCTCAGCCAAGACTATGGCTCTAGTTCCAACATCAGGTATTAATTACTCAAGGCTGACAAATATTTACCTCCTCAGGAACTCGCCCAGGAAGGAATCAGCTAAAGAGAACACAAAATCCATCAGAAGGAGTCGGTAGATTTCCTGGCCAATGAGGGTTTCCCAACACTGAAAGGCAAATAAGAGTCAGGAGATGCGAAGCGACTTTGCTTCTTGCTCAGTTTCCTCTGTTCCTGGCATTCTGCACTCATCAGGACATGGCTGGTGGATCGGTTTGACCGAGTCCTTGTGTGCCCAGAAAAGCAGACCCACTCTGGGCAGAGATGCACCATTAACTTGTTGAGTTCGTTTTCAAGGGTGTTTATTCCCTTTCTGTGCCCCTTCTTCCCCCTGTAAGTCTTGCCCACCACATGTACCCCAAACTTTCCCTTCTCATTATCTCTCCTCTTAAAACTTTTCATCCCTGTCCTATACCCTCTGGATCCCATTTCTCAGCCAGGGAGAGCTGAAGGCATCGATGGTAATAATGCCTTCACTCTTTTTATTAACCTTATGAAAATTCATTAATATCTGCCTAAGAAAGTGCCCTAGGGGGGTGCCTGGGTGGCTCAGTTGTTAAGCGTCTACCTTCCGCTCAGGTCATGATCCCAGGGTCCTGGGATCAAGCCCCACATCCAGCTCCCTGCTCAGCGGGGAGTCTGCCTCTCCCTTTGCCTGCCGCTCCCCCTGCTTGTGTTCTCTCTCTCTCTCTCTCTGTCAAATAAATAAATAAAGTATTTTTTTTAAAAAAAGAAAGAAAGTGGCCTAGGAGTTTGGCAGGCTAGCACAAACTGGAAGGCTGAATTAGTCAGTTCATGAAACTGATAGCCAATTACCTGTGCAGGACGTCAGTGCTATGAGCTGATGGACTAAGAGCTTTTAGATTTGGCTGAACAAGGAGAAGGAGGTTTTGAGTGCACAGCCCAAGGATGGATGGATGGATGGATGGATGGATGGATGGAGGGATGGATGGATAGATGGATAGATGAATGGAAGGATAATATGATATCTACTCTAAGATCATGAGTAGAAACTCTGAGAAACCAGAGAAACTCACTTCTTCCCTGGTGGTCAAAGGTTAAGAAACCAAACTCAAGGCAGAACAGCATAGAAATCTCACCTCTTCACCAGCCTGGGCCACAATGTTGAGCCAATAGTAACAAAGAATTCCAATGATTGATATTTTCAGAAAGATGTTTCTAGATAACAGAAAACAGCTATCATTACCTTCCATGACAATCATTAGTACTGTTTGCCAATATGTCCTTTTCATCATGTGGTAGGACCGAAATTTCTGCTCCCCTCTGGTTTGAGTGGAGCCATAGGGCTAGTTCTGGCAAATGAGTTGTGAGCAGAAGTGATGTATGTCACTTTGTGTCACTTCTAGGCTGCAGCATTTAAATGCCAATGAGACTCTCTGGAACTCACTGTCTTTCCTCTGAAATGGCCATCAGCAATATTTGAGATGGTTGCTGCTCTCAGCCTGGATCCCGGCATGAATGACATGACCAAAACTCCCTGCCATCCACAAGGGACATATAGTATGAACAAGAAATAAATCTTTGTGTTCTAAGCCACTGAGACTGAGAAGAGAGGGGATGTATGTTACTGCAGCATAACCTAATTTATATCAACTGATATACCCTCTTTCGGTGCATCTCCAAACTATCTGATTTCACTTCTCATTGATTGTAATAACAGTAAACATACATACTATTCACTGGGTGCTGACCATGGACAGTACACTGTGTTAAGAACTTTACTGAATCACCTTAGTCTTTACAACGTAATGTTTACAACTTTATAACTCTTAATACTTACAACTCTATCATCACGTAGATAGCATTTTATGTCTATCTTACTGATGAAGAAACTGAAGCTCAGAGGTGAAACAATTTGTCCAAGGGCACACAGCTTCCGAGGGGCATGACAAAGATTGAAACAGAGGACCATCTGCTCTAACCCCCTGAGCTCTTAAACCCAGTCATTTTGCCTTAAATCAACACCTGCGGGTTTTAATAGGGCTTCAGCATTGGTGTGCGAACAATTGTGTGCCACTAGACCAGTCGTTCTCAAAGTGTGTCCTCCAACCCAGTAGCATTGGCCTCATCTGTAAACTTGCTAGAAAGGCAAATTTTCAGGCCCCACCCCAGAGCTACTGAATCAGAAACTCTGGGGACAGGGCCAAGCAATCCCTTCAGGTAATTCTGGTGTATGCTGAAGGTTGAGAATCATTGTGTCAGACAGTAAGTTTCATAAAGGAAGGAAACTGGATCTTTTTCAAAGCCAGATCCCTAATCTCTTGCTCATACCTAGCTCGCAGTAGACCTTCAATATCTCCTGGATTAATGAGTTAATGTACCTTTACTGCAGGGTAGCTCCACATTAAACTTGAGAAAACATACTCATCTAAGCTGAGAAAAGCTCATCTTATATCAAAAAGAATTGCCTATTTCGAACCTTTCCCATTTTCTCTTCATGCAGAGAAGATTTTGAACACTTTGAATATTTTGTGAAGCAGTACAAATGGCTGATGTCTACGAAAAGTCCATTAACCTCTTTATGTGATCAGGAAAAACAAATAGCAAAGTGATTGGTTCAAAATGGCCCACTAAGCAAACAGGTCTACCACCCCTCCATCCAAATTCTCCAAATGATGTTGGAGAGCTGGTCAGGACTCAGATCTCAGAGGCATGGAAGGCAAAGGCTCTTGAATTGATCAGTAAAGAATCTCAATTTGCATTGTACAGACCTATTATTATAAACACCACCATAACCAGGAACTGGTCAGGGAACTATCCAGAAGAAGGAATAAGGACAAAATTTGGGTTATTTTATGCTTTGTTTATCGAAACCCTGGGTTCACCTCTAGCGCAAAAGGCACACCCTCCCAGGCAATGAATTGCCAAAAGTACCCTCTCTACCTCCATATGGGTGTCTGAATTACAAAAATGCCGCTCTTCCTCCCAGCTGAGGCAGTGGCTGTCCGGGCTCACAGCTTGACTAATGGGAACACTGGATAAATTTCAGTCCCCACGCAGCTCCTCAGCCAGGAGCCTTTCTGCAGTCCACAACATACACATCTGTACATCTCATAACTGAGACCTATGTTAAAGCTCAGGCAGATCGCAATCGGGAAAGATAAGCCTTTGCTTTGAGCAAAAGGCAGTTGGACTTCTCTGTATTTTCTGAGCACCTTTTGGATTTTCTGGCAATGAACCCCCACCACACGAACACACTCTGTTCTTAGAACTCTTTCTGGAAAACAGCACTTTGGTACTTGAGCCTAACCCTTTCTAGCTCCCACCTCATTGCCCTCCATGGAAATAGAGGCTGGTGCTGGAGGTGGCGGACACACCTACCGGATCAGGAGGGTATAGACTTCGTGCCGTGGCATCTCATACCACTCCACGAGCCGGAACAGGGAGTAGAGGCGTGGCACTGCCAGGTTGATGCAGGACACAACGAAAGGCAGTAACAGTACTGCCCCAGGGTCCTTGTGCTTCTTCAGGAACTGCAGGGGATGGAAGGAAAGAACTGAGGCCGAGCGTGCACTGAACTCCTCTCGGCCTCCCACAGGAGACTGCCCACAATGTGGAAACCCCAGGAGTAGCTCCTCAGGGGTTCTTGAGCACTTACCCTGAGCCAAGCATCACCCACATGACTGCGTGTAATCCTCACGACAGCCCGGCAGGTAGATATGAATAGACTTACCTGATGGGCAAACTGAGGCCCAGAGAGGCACAAATGCTTGCCCAGAGACACCCACTAGGTGCTGGCAGATTTGAACCGGGTCGATGTGTCTTAGGGGCCTGAACGCAAACAGCCATCCTGTGACTTTACCATCCTCAGCAAGAGGTCTAGGGCCACGAGAAGGTGTTCCCTGGCTGTCAGAGCAAAACCTTAAATCTGGCGAAGCTACAGTACCTTGGTATCGATCACTGTAGCATGTTTCCTTCCCTATCCTGGGTGGCCCTGTTCATTTTCACTGGGCTTTGCTGTCCTTGGGTGCTGAATTAGGGGAAAGGGGGGCCTCTGCCAGCCCACACCGTACCTTTGTATGAGGTCCAGAGAGACACCCCTTCCTTCAAATGGATGTGACACGCTGGCATTTGGTTCAGAGTGGGGCCTAGGGTGCCCCTCTGCCAGGCATCCTTGGAGTAAGGGCTTCCAGTGGATTTTTCTTCTGTCTCCCACTACCCCGTCCTCCACCCCCAGGCCTGACCCTGCCTCCCTTTACCTCTGGATGGTTTTGGAACACCCCGCTTGCACTTTTGGCAGTATTTCTGTAGCCATGGATCCAAATGCTGCCCCTTCCCCATGCTTATAAGCCGCATGAGGAGCCAGATGCATAGCTTCTCTGAGCCTCTTTTCCCTGTCTGTATAATGAGGAGATTATCGTGTAACCCATAGAGTTATTTGAAGAATTAAGTGAGAGCGGGAGCACCTGGGTGGCTCAGTCTGTTAAGCGTCTGACTCTCAATGTCGGCTCAGGTCATGATCTCAGGATCGTGGGATCAAGCCCTGCATCCGGCTCCATGCTCAGTGGGGAGTCTGCTTAAGATCTCTCTCCCTCTGCCCTTCCCTCCACTCTCTCTCTCTCTCTCTCAAATAAATAAATCTTTAAAGAAAAAGAATAAAATGAGACCAAATAAAGCAAAGTCTGGCCCCTAAATAACACAGGTAGGACACCATTCACAGGAAATGACAGTTGCCAATGAGTATGACCCCTGGAGTGGTACAAAGTTGTTCCTGCCTGGCATAGAGCAGACGTTCAAACAACAGGAATGACTCCACTCTGCCTCCTCACCTCCTTAGCTGCCCTCCTTCACTTCAGGTGGGTGTAGAGAAAAGCTTCCAGGTGAAGAAGAAACTCAGAAGTCTTCTTTATGCCTATAGCTGCCTGGTCACAGTTTGCATCCAAAGTAGAGATTGCTAAGCCCTTAAGCATTGAGACTTAATTTCCCCTCTTTCAGGGCACACCTTAATATGGTTAATGGCAAACCCTTAGATTTATATAATCCCACATCCATTTTCTTGCTGGCTTCTCCTTTACTTATTCAGCCATTTGGTTGAGCACCTATTATGTATGAGGTATTGAGTCTGGAGCCCAGCTACCAGACAGATGTATAAACAGGTACTTTCAATACCACACATGACAAGGGCACAGGGAAAGCCTGCAGAATCAGGAACACCCAACTCAGTCTAGTGAAGGTGATGGTGGTGAGGAAATGACACTGTGCTGAGGTCTAGAGAAGGAGAAGTTTGCCAGATAACAGAATTAGGGGAGGCGGGGTGGAGAATGAACTGCATTTTCCCACCTAGAGATAAGGAAAGGCATGATATGTTCAGCGAACTGTGTTCAGTTCAGCATTTAGTGTTGCTGGTGTGTAGGATATGGGTAGTTGTGGGGTGTTGAGACTAGAGATGTGGGCAGGGTCAGATCATATAAGATCTGTCAATCATGCCATGGAGGATAGATTTTATATTGAGGGTAACAAGAAGCCATTAAAGAAAGTGACATGGGGCGCCTGGGTGGCTCGGTCATTAAGCGTCTGCCTTCGGCTCAGGTCATGATCCCAGGGTCCTGGGATCGAGCCCTGCATCGAGCCCTGCATCGGGCTCCCTGCTCAGCAGGAAGCCTGCTTCTCCCTCTCCCACTCTCTCTGCTTGTGTTCCCTCTCTCGCTGTGTCTCTCTCTGTCAAATAAATAAATAAAATCTTTTAAAAAAATTAAATTAAAATTTAAAAAATAAAGAAAGTGATGTAATCAGACCCACCTGTACCATAATTCAAGAGGTCAGCAAACTGGCTACAATTAGCCCCATTTTCCAAGGGATTTGAAAGCCAAAACCTACAGAAAAACAGTACTTTGCCCAGATCACCCAGCTAATTAGTCTCCGAGTGCATGTTACTAGGAAAAAAAGAAGAAGAAAAAAAAAAAAGCTAACATTCCTTCATCACCCACAGTACTGGACACTGAGGAGATTCTTCACATAACTTTTCTCTGGTCCTGACCACACACCTACAAAGCCGGGTCCGATCATTCCTGTTTTGCAAGTGAGGAATACAGGGCTCAGAAAGGGAAGAAGGGGCCGGCCTTGAGTGACAGTGATGCAAGATGGCAGCCACCATGGGCTCGGACAATTTATGAAAACCGAATATACAGCCTTAAAATAGAATGTGGACCTAAATACCCAGAAGCACCCCCCTTTGTAAGATTTGTAACA